ACTTTCTCTCCTATTTCCTCCTCTTTCTTTCCCATGGACACCTTGGCAGAAGGAGGAGGAAGAGGAGGAGGTGGCGGCGTTGACATCAGAGTTGTCATCAGCTGATTTGATTTGGCGAGAGTCGGCCAAGTTGAATGCACAACATTCCAAATGCGGTTAACTGACTAATCCAGAAGATGGAATTTCTCGATCTAGTCAAGGTTAATTAAGTGAAGCTTCGGACGGTTGGTAAGGTGGCGTGTTCCCTGGATATGGGTGCCCTCAAAGGAAAAGTCACATTCAAGCTGATCAGTGGGCCGGAGAAATCCACCAGAAACATTCATAGCCTTTTTTCCGATGTGATCATCGGAGGCCGTCCAATCGTCTGCCAAAGTGCGCCTGGAGATAATGCCGATGTCCAAGGCTATGTCAAATTGGAGGCGTACGGGTCTGTCATTGACAGTAACCGTAATATACTTCCTTCACGCCTCATATTCACTCTTGAAGGTGGCTAGAATGGAGTGGGACTTTAGGCCAGAGGAAGATGACGGGCGTTTGGAACGTTTCTTCCATCTGTCGCCGCCCTTGATTTCGGTGGTTGGCCCGCCGGGCAGTGATTCTCCTTATGCCCTAAGTGCTTCGTGAATGGCCAAAAGCGAACAAAATGCCAATCACGGCACTGCCATCATGGTGATGGAGGTTTTCTGAATGTGGAGTTTTGGGGCTTTTGTGGCGACCTCGACTTCGTCCTAGTGACAGCTTGGACGTTGGCGACAGCAAACGAGGAAATTGGTTGCTCCACGATCGCAGAATCATGCTTGACACTCGGCCGTCAATGTCTGCAGAGTAGAGTCAGGGTCCTGTTCAATCTTGTAGAGCAGACGCGCCCGGGTTTCAGCATCACATGGTGACCGTAGAGCGCTCACAAAAATGAAGCACTTGAACTGAACCTTTCGCACTCGCGGTTGACGATACTGGCGAGCGTTAGAAAATCGTCCGTCTCGTTTTTCACCAGTTTAAAACACTGGTATCGAGTATTGAACAAAGAGGACTTCTCGCCGAAAGTTTCTGACAGGCGCTGGAGGGTTTCATCGAAGGTGAAATCACGAGGGTGGTTTGGCAGAATGATATCCGTGTACAGCTCGTGCATTCTGGTGCCCAGTTTGCGAAGTAGCAGGCGCACCTTCCGAGTATCTTTAGCCTTGGCAAACTCCG